ACCCATAATCGATCGGGCCGCAAGACAGCGAGGTCTTTGAGGAAAGCAGGAGATAAAGCCGTAACTCCTGGAGGTCTTTTAGTAATGGTCTAAAACTCAAAGCTCCTGTGGCCCTCCAAGGGAGACGTGATAAAGCAGCGACCATTTTAGTACAGCTCTCTGCCTTTACAGCTCCTGAACTCTTAATAAAGAATCCAGCAGTGACCGTGGAGATGGCAGGAATTTTCCTTTTCCCTTTAAACACCGTTCAGGCTGGTTTTAGACCAGGCTTTCTCACTGATGCTTGTGTGTGAGAAAGGAGCGAATGGTGTATCAAAGCGGCGATTGTTCCTGCTTCTCTTTCATTGAGAACTTTTCATCATCAAAAGTGTCAATTATCCAATGCACTTTTGGGCAGTGTCATTAGAACGCTGTAATTAAACCGCGTTGGAAATAATTCAGGGCGAACTTAATTGAAAGGGGCTATATTTCCAACTTGGCCTTGTGACTTTGTCATGCTTTAAAAATGTTTAGCGCATTAGTATTTCTAATTAGTTTCGTTATTATTTGGATCTTTGGAGGTTTGCCCTGAGGTTTTCCTCTGTAACATGTTCTTGAGGAGTTTGCCGGCCCCTGGGATTTTTTTGCTTTGCCGTTCATCCAGCGCTTTCCTACCTGACGGTGAATGTCTTCCTCCCTCTTTCCCCCAGGTGGAACTGCATCGTGACAACCCACGGCCCCCCTCCCATGGCAGGACACTCCTCCTGTGTCATCGAAGACAAAATGATCGTCTTTGGGGGTTCGCTAGGATCTCGGCAAATGTAAGCTTGGGGAGAGGGTGTTTGACAAGCGCTCCTGCAAGCGAGGAGCGTGTGGTGGTGGTCCCAGGGTAGCTCATAGCGTTTCGGAAGGAAATCTCTGCAGGATCTTGGGGTCTGCCTGCTGCCTTAGCACACCCTTCACCTCTCACGGTGAATCCCCTCAGCTCCAGCCTGTGAAAAACCCAATTCTGCCATAAACCCGTGTTTCAGACACCCAGAGGGCCTGGTTGTATCGTCAACGCTTGTTGTCTCGTCCTTGCAGGAGCAACGACGTCTGGGTGCTGGATCTCGAGCAGTGGGCTTGGTCCAAGCCCAACATCGCTGGGCCCAGCCCTCACCCGCGAGGTGGCCAGTCTCAGGTGAGCTCTCCTTCGCTAGCTCAGCACCAACACATGCTGCCAAAGATAAACCAGACACGGCTTAATTTCCAGCTTCCAGGCAGCTCTCTGCAGGTCGCCTGAAAGCTAGCGCCCCATTTCCAAGTTATCTTTGCAGCCTTTGCCCGACGGGCCCTTGTTTTCTCTAGCCATCTGTTCTGTGAGGGTGCGCTTTTAATCTCCCTAACACTCAGGCAGGTACCGTGCCGTGTCTTGCACATGACTCAGAACTCTAATGAGCATTTCTAGAAAACAAATTGCTGTTTTCACCCAGCGATCATCCCCTGTGGCATTTAAGATCAATGAAGTGTTATCACAAGTTGGTTTGGCTTGGGGCCCTTTTGATTGCTCCGCTCTCCTCATTTTCGGTTTGAGCGACTCTGGATTGTACCCGCTCAAAGCACGGGTCTGGCAGTGCCTGTTTTGTTGCCTGCCTGGGGCAGGGAGCTCATGGGAGTCACCCGACTCGATGCAGGTGTCTCTGTCGCAGCTGGCATCCCTGCCTTCCCTTCGTGGTCCCCAGGAGGACGGCCGGCGGTGCCCAGCATGCAGATCATCTCAGCCTAGGAGGGCACCCAAAAGAGATCGGAGAGGTTGTGCTTGAACGTGCCTTTCTCTCCGTCCACTGGAAAAGGAGACTAAGGGACTAGCTCACCCACCACCAGCATCTAACAAATACCGCTGCAAGCACGTGCCCTCCCAGACAATCCTTCCGCCTTCACCTCTTCACTAAAGAGGGGCGTCGAGTCCCTTGCCGTTTGGCTCAGCTTCAGGAAGGGTAATTGCTCGCCTCTGTGAGAGGAACGGGTTTGTGAGCTGTTTGGGACAAGGCAGTGGGGTGAACCCTGCATCCCGCTTTGCTTCGGGCCCAGCAAAACCGGCTCTCCATCCCAGCTCCACTCTTCATCCCGGGGCAGACAAAATTTGGCAGCGTCTGCGCGGCTGAGAAGCCGTAACCTGGCTCTGCCAGCACTTAGAGGCTTTGCCGAAAGCACCGGGGATGGTTTCACATCCTTCCCGGTCTGAAACACTGTTCTTTGCCCCCTCCAGATCGTGATAGACAACGAAACCATTCTAATCCTCGGTGGCTGTGGTGGTCCCAATGCAGTAAGTATCCTGGGGGAGTGCAGGCATGAACTGCATGTGTCTTGCTATAACAGCCCTGCATGCTGGACTGGGGAGAGGGGGACCCTGCACGTTACCTGGGTGGCGTTTTATCCTGCAAATCTGGGCACCCACGCGGTAGATTTTCCAGAGAAGCTGCCTAGCTATTGCTAGAGCTGCTTTAATTAAGAAAAAAGCACCCCAGGCGCTACCTGAGCAGCTTGCCGAGATTAATTGAGCTTCGGAAGAGTTAGCCCTGATTTTATACTGGGATAGAAGATGGAGATGAAGGGATTTGTCCGTGGCCATAGTAGGGTGTAGTCACTCCTGGGCGGTCAGATCCTGATCTGGGTCACCATTTCTCTGCCTGCAGCAGCAAAGCACCGCTCCTAACCTCTGATGGGATGATCTCAGCAGCAAACCGGGCTTCTAAATCTGTCGCGCTTTTCTTCACAGCTGTTTAAAGACGCCTGGTTACTGCACATGCACGCGAACCCCTGGACGTGGCAGCCGCTTAAGGTGGAGAACGAAGACCACGGAGCCCCGGAGCTGTGGTGCCATCCTGCCTGCAGGGTACGGACGCAGTGGGGTCTCTGCTCTCTCATATACATCCCTTGATCTTTATTGCCTGCCCAAAATGCTCCGTACCCCCCTATTTTTTCCCCAATACAGTGCAAAGGGTCATCCTGCCATTTGTAACCTGTTCTCTCCCCTTCTCCTCCTTCAGGTGGGACAGTGCGTTGTGGTCTTTAGCCAGGCTCCCAGCGGGAGAGCCCCGCTGAGTCCCAGCTTGAACTCTCGCCCCTCTCCCATCAGCGCCACGCCGCCCGCCCTGGTTCCTGAAACGCGGGAATACCGCTCTCAATCTCCCGTCAGGAGCACGGACGAGGCTCCCTGCGTCAACGGCCGCTGGGGCACCCTGCGACCCAGAGCGCAGAGGCAAACCCCCTCGGGATCCCGGGAAGGCAGCCTCTCCCCAGCCAGAGGAGACAGTTCCCCCGTACTCAACGGTGGGAGTTTATCGCCTGGAGCCACGGCGGCCGGCGGTGCCTCCTTGGACAGCCCCGTGCAGGTCGTATCGCCCAGCACGCCTTCCGTGGCTGAAGGATACGACCTAAAAGTGGGGCTCGCCCTGGCGCCGCGACGGGGATCGCTGCCGGAGCAGAAAGATCTGCGTTTGGGATCCGTCGACCTGAGCTGGGAACAGAAGCCGGCTTCCATCATCTGCCAGATGGACGGTGTGGAGGGCAGGACAGTCGGTGCGAGCGTGAGGAACCCCCCCGAGCAGACCAACGGCATCCACACGCCGCCCCACGTCGCCAGCTCCCTCCCGGGGGCCGTCTCCCCCGGCGCGCTCCGGAGGAGCTTGGAGGCTGTCAAAGCCCTTTCTTCCAAAAGCTCCTCGGCTTCTGCGGCATTGAGCCCACCCCTGGCTTCTTCCCCGGGCTCCCCGGGCGCCGAGACGGGCTCGGCGGCGCGTCCGGGCTCTACCCAAGGCGACGGCCATTCCTTACCTCCCATTGCCCGCCGCCTGGGCCACCACCCTCCCCAGTCCCTCAACGTGGGGAAGCCTTTATACCAGAGCATGAACTGCAAACCCATGCAGATGTACGTGCTGGACATTAAAGACACCAAGGAAAAAGGACGAGTCAAATGGAAAGTGTTCAACAGCAGTTCGGTGGTGGGGCCGCCCGAAACCAGTTTACACACGGTGGTGCAAGGCAGAGGGGAGTTAATCATATTCGGTGGCCTCATGGACAAGAAACAAAACGTGAAATACTATCCCAAAACAAATGCCTTGTACTTTGTGCGAGCAAAAAGATAATGTGGCCCGAGCCCTTCGCCGCCATCACCTTCTCCCCTCCCTCCCCGCGGCTCTTCCCTCTCCTTTCCAAGCCCTTGCTCTGTCACGCAGGCGTTCAAACTGTGAATTAGGGAGCAAGAAACCAATAAAGTCCAAGCAAAACCTCCAGCGCTGCCCCGCCGGTTCCCAGTAAGACCCCAGTAAAGCAAATCGCGTTTACAGGCAGGGAAGGAGCCGCGCCGCTGCGATCCAAGCCAAGGATTTGGGGTGAGCAGGTAGGGAAATCTGCCCTCCAGTATCCTCTTGAGGTTGGTTTTTATTTGCCAGGGGTTTGAGAGGCTTCGTATCTCTCCGAAACTCCTCGTGGGATGCGAGTAAAAGTGGTTTTATACAAACAAACCAAATACCGGCAGGCAGGCGGCTGTCAGCTTGCACGCACTGATTATTTCCGTGCTTGACTCCGTAAGGAAAACAACAGCAATACCCCACCAAGAATCTTCCAGCGCTGCAAACCTTTGCTCGACACAAACACGATGCCTTTGTTTGTTTGTTTGCCTCTCACCCCTTCGGCCTGCCACTCTCGTTCCTGTCCTCCGGACAGGACCGTAAGAAGGAACAAAGGACAGTTTTTTTGCATCAAAATGCCAAAAATATTAAGAATTAGCCGGGCGTTAGCATCCTCCCCTGTGCTGCATCGGGCTGGATCGGGCTTTGGGATCAGCCCTGATCCCTGCAGATCAGCAAAAAACCACATGGTTTACTCTAAAATTCCCATTATTCCCCAAAAGCTGAGAAATTTGGCTGCCGATTCCCTTCTAGACTCAAAGGGTTTTGTTTCGCTCCACACCGCAAACCCGGTCGAGGCTGAACCAGCACCTCGCAGCCTGGGAACGGGTTCTTTTTCCAGCCAGAAGGATGAATATTGGTAAATTCGAGGGCGCCAGCAGCCCTGATAGCCGTAACTGCATCTCATCTTTGCACGTGCCTCCTTCCGTAAAGACTAAAACAAATTAAAATCCGAAGGGATTGAACCTGCGCGTCCGTCTGGGACAACGTCCCTCCTTCCCTTGCCCCTTGAGATGCTGGAGGGGGGGGGGGAAATGGGCGGATTCTGCCAGGTTTTGGTCAACAACCTCCAGCACCCGAAAAGGAGGGAACCCTCCCCAAACCGGCAGCGCCATGACGTGGCCCCTTTTCCCCTTATTTTTTTTTCCCCCCCCTCCATCCCCACGGAGCTTTTTGCCGGTCGGAGCCTTAAATCTCATCCCAGCCGCGTGGGGATGGGGAGGGCTTTGCTTCGTCTGTAAATAAATCCCTCGTTAAATCCAGCCTCTCCCGTTCCGATCCCAAATGGATTTGATTTGTCCTAAGGGAAGGCAAAATGCAATTTTCCCCTCCCAAAAAACCTCAGGAGCACCCAGGGTGATCTGTGAAATATTTCTTCTCCACTTTCGGCCTCGATTCCCTCCTCCCCTTTGCATGTCTTTTGTCGTCCACCCCAAAAAAAAAGAGTCAAAAAAGGGACGGACGGCGGATCGGCGTTGGGTTGACGTTCTCCCGGTGCGGAGCATCCCTCCAGGGGCATTTTCCCAACGTTTACGTGGTCTCCATCCTCAACCAGTCCCAAAATCCCCATAACTGGTCCCAAGGTCCCCCCAGCCAGTCCCAAAATTCCCATAACTGGTCCCCAAATCCTCCCAGCCAGTCCCAAAATCCCCATAACTGGTCCCAAAATCCTCCCAACCAGTCCCCAAATTCTCCCAACCAGTCCCAAAATCCTCCCAACCAGTCCAGAAATCCCCATAACTGGTCCCAAAATCCCCCTAACTGGTCCCCAAATCCAACCAGTCCCCAAATCCTCCTAACTGGTCCCAAAATCCCCATAACTGGTCCCAAGATCCTCCCAACCAGTCCCCAAATCCCCATAACTGGTCCCCAAATCCCAACCGGTCCCAAAATCCTCCCAACCAGTCCCAAAATCCCCATAACTGGTCCCCAAATCCCAACTGGTCCCAAAATCCCCATAACTGGTCCCAAGATCCTCCCAACCAGTCCCCAAATCCCCATAACTGGTCCCCAAATCCCAACCGGTCCCAAAATCCTCCCAACCAGTCCCAAAATCCCCATAACTGGTCCCCAAATCCCAACTGGTCCCAAAATCCCCATAACTGGTCCCAAGATCCTCCCAACCAGTCCCCAAATCCCCATAACTGGTCCCCAAATCCCAACCGGTCCCAAAATCCTCCCAACCAGTCCCAAAATCCCCATAACTGGTCCCCAAATCCCAACTGGTCCCAAAATCCCCATAACTGGTCCCAAGATCCTCCCAACCAGTCCCCAAATCCCCATAACTGGTCCCCAAATCCCAACCGGTCCCAAAATCCTCCCAACCAGTCCCAAAATCCCCATAACTGGTCCCCAAATCCCAACTGGTCCCAAAATCCCCATAACTGGTCCCAAGATCCTCCCAACCAGTCCCCAAATCCCCATAACTGGTCCCCAAATCCCAACCGGTCCCAAAATCCTCCCAACCAGTCCCAAAATCCCCATAACTGGTCCCCAAATCCCAACTGGTCCCAAAATCCCCATAACTGGTCCCAAGATCCTCCCAACCAGTCCCCAAATCCCCATAACTGGTCCCCAAATCCCAACCGGTCCCAAAATCCTCCCAACCAGTCCCAAAATCCCCATAACTGGTCCCCAAATCCCAACTGGTCCCAAAATCCCCATAACTGGTCCCAAGATCCTCCCAACCAGTCCCCAAATCCCCATAACTGGTCCCCAAATCCCAACCGGTCCCAAAATCCTCCCAACCAGTCCCAAAATCCCCATAACTGGTCCCCAAATCCCAACTGGTCCCAAAATCCCCATAACTGGTCCCAAGATCCTCCCAACCAGTCCCCAAATCCCCATAACTGGTCCCCAAATCCCAACCGGTCCCAAAATCCTCCCAACCAGTCCCAAAATCCCCATAACTGGTCCCCAAATCCCAACTGGTCCCAAAATCCCCATAACTGGTCCCAAGATCCTCCCAACCAGTCCCCAAATCCCCATAACTGGTCCCCAAATCCCAACCGGTCCCAAAATCCTCCCAACCAGTCCCAAAATCCCCATAACTGGTCCCCAAATCCCAACTGGTCCCAAAATCCCCATAACTGGTCCCAAGATCCTCCCAACCAGTCCCCAAATCCCCATAACTGGTCCCCAAATCCCAACCGGTCCCAAAATCCTCCCAACCAGTCCCAAAATCCCCATAACTGGTCCCCAAATCCCAACTGGTCCCAAAATCCCCATAACTGGTCCCAAGATCCTCCCAACCAGTCCCCAAATCCCCATAACTGGTCCCCAAATCCCAACCGGTCCCAAAATCCTCCCAACCAGTCCCAAAATCCCCATAACTGGTCCCCAAATCCCAACTGGTCCCAAAATCCCCATAACTGGTCCCAAGATCCTCCCAACCAGTCCCCAAATCCCCATAACTGGTCCCCAAATCCCAACCGGTCCCAAAATCCTCCCAACCAGTCCCAAAATCCCCATAACTGGTCCCCAAATCCCAACTGGTCCCAAAATCCCCATAACTGGTCCCAAGATCCTCCCAACCAGTCCCCAAATCCCCATAACTGGTCCCCAAATCCCAACCGGTCCCAAAATCCTCCCAACCAGTCCCAAAATCCCCATAACTGGTCCCCAAATCCCAACTGGTCCCAAAATCCCCATAACTGGTCCCAAGATCCTCCCAACCAGTCCCCAAATCCCCATAACTGGTCCCCAAATCCCAACCGGTCCCAAAATCCTCCCAACCAGTCCCAAAATCCCCATAACTGGTCCCCAAATCCCAACTGGTCCCAAAATCCCCATAACTGGTCCCAAGATCCTCCCAACCAGTCCCCAAATCCCCATAACTGGTCCCCAAATCCCAACCGGTCCCAAAATCCTCCCAACCAGTCCCAAAATCCCCATAACTGGTCCCCAAATCCCAACTGGTCCCAAAATCCCCATAACTGGTCCCAAGATCCTCCCAACCAGTCCCCAAATCCCCATAACTGGTCCCCAAATCCCAACCGGTCCCAAAATCCTCCCAACCAGTCCCAAAATCCCCATAACTGGTCCCCAAATCCCAACTGGTCCCAAAATCCCCATAACTGGTCCCAAGATCCTCCCAACCAGTCCCCAAATCCCCATAACTGGTCCCCAAATCCCAACCGGTCCCAAAATCCTCCCAACCAGTCCCAAAATCCCCATAACTGGTCCCCAAATCCCAACTGGTCCCAAAATCCCCATAACTGGTCCCAAGATCCTCCCAACCAGTCCCCAAATCCCCATAACTGGTCCCCAAATCCCAACCGGTCCCAAAATCCTCCCAACCAGTCCCAAAATCCCCATAACTGGTCCCCAAATCCCAACTGGTCCCAAAATCCCCATAACTGGTCCCAAGATCCTCCCAACCAGTCCCCAAATCCCCATAACTGGTCCCGTCCTCTTCCAGCTTCATTTCTGGGATTGCGGGGACGGGGCCCTGAAAAAATTCGAGCATCTCTTGCCTGTGAGTCACGGGGGGACAAGTTTGGGGGGGGGGACACGCACGTCGGAGCCCCCCGTCATGGTGGTGTTGTGTGTCCCCCCCTCAGGCTTGTAAGGAGGAGGCGGACGCCGTCCTCTTCCTCTTCTCCTTCACCGACCGCTCGTCCTTCGAGGAGCTGCCAGCCCAGATGAGCCGGGTGGTCGGCCCCGACGAAGAAAACCTCGTTAGGGTGGTCGTCGGCACCAAGTATCCTTCTCCCGGGGGCCCTTGGGGGTCCGCATCCCCCCAGAAGCGGGTTTGCACCCCCGTATTTCGCACCGCTTGCCCTCTCGGTAGGCTGAGAACGTGCACACTTCATTACACCGATGGATTTGCAGCGCCCGCTTATTTTAGGGGCCTTTGCTTCCCTTGGGGAGGGGGGATTTTTCAGAGTGTTGGTGTCTCTCTTGACCGTGTGTCCCCCCCCAAGTGGTTTTGCACCCCAATACCTTGGAAGGCTGAGGTACTCAATGCCTTGGTAGGCTGAGAACGTGCACGCTTCGTTACACTGATGGAATCGGAGCTTCCACCTATTTTTATAGGGTTTTGCCCCCCGGGGGGATTTTTCAGGGTGTTGGTGTCTCCCTTGACCGTGTGTGTCCCCCCACAAGCGGGTTTGCGCCCCCATATTTTGTACCACTCAGTCCCGTGGTAGGCTGAGAATGTGCACACTTCGTTACACCGATGACTTGGCAGCTCCTGCTTATTTTTACGGGCTTTCGGGGGGATTTTTCAAGGCGTTGGTGTCTCCCTTGACCATGTGCCCCCCCCGCCCCCCAGATTCGACCTGTCCCCGCAGGCGGACGTGACGGAGGGGGACGTGACGGCCTTCGAGGAGAGCTGGGGGCTGCCGGTGCTGCGGGCGGGCAGCGGGCCGGGGGCCGGGGCGGGACGCGGGGGGCTGGCCCGGGGCGCCCCCCTCCTCGGCGCCCCGGCCGGGAGGCCCCGGGGGCGG